AAGTTCAGAAGGCTGGTCATTCGATTGGTGACAATGCAAAGTTTTAGATATAAAGAGGCACTTCTTCCAAGTAGAGCAATTTTAAACTGTGACAATGTCACTGCTCTTAAGAGCATGGCACAAGTCGTACGTAAAAGAGAAACGTTACAAAGGAGGTCTCAGTTTGTGAGGCTATTGCCATAAACAACCCTGCTGTATTTTAAGTCCGGTATTAATCCACATTAGACACATGTGGAGCTGAAGAGATAGTTTCATGCTTGCTCAAGTAAGGCAGAGGTCCCACAAGCCCCCTATTTATAACAAACTTCCTTTAGGACAGAGTTTGTGTCACAAAACCATAATAGGGATTAGTGTCTCTAAAGCTGCCTATTTAAGCAAAGGGAACGCATCCTGGCAGTGAATGCATGTTTAGAGTATCAAAAATGATACTGTTAATTAATTCGCCTCTTAAATTTCATTTACTCCTTAAGGACCACTATTTATAGCAGTCTTGGATTGCCTGGAACTTGAATCATCTTTTAATCTAATGCTTTTATTTTTTTCTAAGAACCTCTGACACCCCCTCTGCTTCCGAGCACAAGTTCAGGAGTACACCTGCCTCGACAAACAGGGCAAATCATTGTTTTCCTCTGTGACCCTGTAAAAATTTTCAGCAGCAAGCAGAACGCGAGAGGTGAACAGCAGTTCAAGTTGATCAGCTTGCACATCGGAAAGTGAGCATCTGAAGCGAGCAGTTAAACTTACTCCACTCTGCAAGGACTTTTCATTTTGCAGCCAATCAGCAGCTGCCTTAAGAAAAGTTTTCCACATTGAAAATTAATCAAGGTGAAAACGCAACGAACTGAGCTCCAGCACATGAACCTCCATTAAGGGAATCTGGTGACATCAGAAAGCCTGAAAATAAAAGCTCAGGTAAGCACCAGAATGCTTCAGATGCAGTTCTAACCGTGGGGTTCAAAAGGTGCTTATTTCACGTTTTGACAAACTACATGGTCAACAGTACACAATGGGCAATAAAAATCCCGTTGAGAAAAAAATCTAATGGAGAAAACAGACATTTAACATTTTCTCCTACCTTACTTCTGTACATACAGAACAAACATAAATCAAAGTCTCATTTCTGCTGTGTTCCTGTTCTCCTGCTGTTTTATAAACTTCTCCTTCTCCTCATTTGCTACGACTTTTTGGCAATTGAAAATTATTTACAGTGTAGAGAAGACGATGGGGGGCAGGGGGAGCAGAAATCACTTGCAGGCCTGGTTCTCCCTGCCTTTAAATATACTCAGGAGATTTCTATTTTTTAAGGGCAGTTTGTAAGAAAGTTTGGCCTTGGGAACTTGTGCAAGCTATACATCTGAAGGGAACACATCCGATTACACGTATGGCTGGACCAGTTCTGACAAATACAAACCATACGAGGTCACCTGAGAGGCTGCAATGCCCCAAAGGAAGTCTGTGACCATCCTCTTGACTGATCTAGTTATTTGTTTGGGGTGGTTGTTGGGGTTTTTTTTGACATAAGCTGGTGCTGACGTACTACTTTGCAGAGAAAATAAGGAGTGGGCTGTAGTTTTCTAAAGTCCACGTTAGGGAAGATAAACCTGCAATGAACTCTTGTAAAACAAGTGCCACAAGGAGGAAAGAAGACAAGGAACTCTAACACTGAACTTCTTGCCAGCTTCAAGTGGTTGATAATGCTTAAAATTAGTTCTGCAGCATAAGCAGAAATTAATCAACTATTCTGAATATTCTGTGCAAGATCAGCAGCGCTACACGCACTGTGACTGCGAAGGAAAAGAAATAAGAACCACGCACTGTAGTTCAGCATCCACACTATTCCTCCAGAGTAAAAAAAGGAAGTGTATCCACTTGCTTCAGTATCAGTAAAACTCAAAGGTGCTTCCTGTACATTCACCCACAAACACACATGTGCATCCTATTTACAGTGGTCATTACACTCCACTTCCTTAGACGAAAAGCAGAAAAGGACAAGCAGGTGGTGTGCTCCAGAAACCAACCTGCATACCCTGTCTGTGCTGATGAATCAGGCTGTAGTACTACCTGTAGACAAGAAAAACCTTTAGTGAACAAATAAGAAAAGGAGAATGCTCACTGTGCAACCTGTTTATGTGTCAAGTATGTTGAGATGTAGGATAAGGAAGCCATTAGCTAATATTAGCTAATTAGGAAGATATTAACTAAAGACCAGAAGACAAACCAGACATCTAGTAATACAGAAGTTTTATTAACATTATTTTTAAAGTTACTATAATGGACAACACAGGGAGTATTTATTCCAGCCAGTCCCTGTAGAAGTCAGAAATCAGGAGAGTGAAAAGCAGCCCAGCAAAGACACACGGTTTTTAGTTCACAGCAACTGAAGCAGCCACACTAATTTCTGCGTCCTAAAACGGAGTATGCTCCTGCTAGCAGAGCTCTGCACTGTATGAACGTGCTGATACGAAAGTACAACATAAACGTAATTTGAAAACGCACTTTGTCAGGCACAGGCTGAAGAATGGCTTAAATCTGGAATGGGCCCATGCACTACAAGAAATTATAGACTTTGTATTTTTACTTCCTGATGAGTGGCTGCACGCGCACACAGTATCAGTGGCTGCACATACACAGTATCAGGAAGTTACCTTCAAAGCACAAAGTGGATGAAGTCACAGCTACACGTGGATCCAAACAGAATTCCAAGTCTGAACAGCTGGAAGCGTTACAGGAGTTCAAATCTCAAACTGAACCAAACCAGAGTCCCAGATCTGAGTGCATTATGGGCTAATTTCAGAGTTGCATCCGAGTTAAACTTTAGCAAAGGCCAGTAAAATTTAGCACCTCATCTTCTAAGGGATTAAAGTCAGTTCCATATTCTGCACACACATGAACTACTTTTCAAACCTTAGTAGGTTCCTTTCTATTAGGTCACATCTCTGACATCTCCCCTACTAGTCTTTTACAAAGTTCTTCTTTCCTACAACTGCTTTTGATATTCCACATTCTTCCTCTCCTTTCCTGGATGCACAGGACTGCTTTTTTGGTTTAGCCAATTTATTAGCACGTCACTTCACCTGGTCTCCTTCCTATTATGCCACATTCCTGCTTTAATTTTGAAATAGTTGAAATGCTTTGCTTTAAGGTCTCAGATCATGCTCTGACACGAGCATCTTTAAAAACTTTCCTGGAGAGAAGTCAGGATTTCTCTGGTTTTGTGAAATAATAACTGTCAAGAGGTAAAAAGAACACAAACCAAAAATCTCCAAGCATCCCATTTCAAGTGAGTGTTTCTGAATTATATTGAAACAGATGAATGACCTAAAGTTTAGAAAACATACTGAGCATTAAAGGCCAAAATATTACACTATAGTGTGAAAACCTTACAGAAAGAATGGGGGAAAAAAATCCCACCAGACTAAAACAGTCATAAAACTACTACTTAGCAAAGAAAGAAAAGAGTATCCAGGCTTTTTAGATCCATCTATGTATAAGAACGAAAGAAAACTCCAAAATACAGGGTACTAGGAATAGCTAACTAGCCTTCAGAGGAGAAAAAAACCCAAATCAAACACACACTCTCCTTCCTCCTGCCCATTTTCCTTTTTCCTAAAAGTCAATGTGTGCAACTTTTTTTCTTTTTTTTTTTGTCTTTTTGTTCTGCTGTTAATCTCCTCAGACAGTTCCCCTGGACACAGAGCAGTTAAAGAAACACCTTAATTTCCCCAGCCCGTTCTTAGCTGCCTAAACCATCACTGCCCCAGTAAACACTTTAAATCAAAGTTAACCAATAACATGTGCTGCTCATTAGCAGTGCCTTAAGCTCACCTGTATTGTTCTGTTTCTTTAAAAGAGCAATATTCAAAGCACCCTTCACCCTATGAAGCATTTTATTTGGGTTCTTATTGCTGTAAGCAGGGACCTAACCGAAGGAAACGTTAATTTTTTTAAGGCCATCTATGAAGTTTAAAAGCATTCTTTTAAATAAAAGGCCCAAATAAAGAAAACTATGAACATGAACAAGCGGAGGTAAAACAAAACAAATTGGATAGCTGAGAAAATGTAATAATGTAATATGAATATCTTAGAGAAAACAAGTGCTCAATTAATTATTCCTTAATATTAACAATCTTCATCTTTAGGGGAAGAAGAAATTTTAGGAAAAAAAAAAATCAGCCCAGTTCTGTTCCTCAATGTCTATTATTTCCATTATAAGGTGTATCTAAGAGTCAGGTCAGTTTGGTTTTAAATACTCCCAGATCTTTACTTGTGTGTCTAGTTGTGCATGTCTTTGCGCAAAGCATTTTCTTCCTCTGAAGCTTCTTTCTAAATGGAGGAAAGATAATACTTTTGTCCGCCAAGAAGGTACTGTAAGGATAATACAATTACTTAAGGTTCGGATGTGATGAAAGAAACAGAGAAAGGACGACAAATGTAAGCAAATAAGCTATGTTGATCTGGAGGAGATGAACAGTGTGCGTTTATACACAGAATCAACCACATAAATTGCAACCAGCACATGTAGTTTCAAAAATAATCTGTAAATTGAACAAAAATATTTAAACAATGCTGTAAGCAATCTCAGCCCTGTGTAAACACCAAGAAGCTCTCCATCTGAAAGGAATGTATATGCTTAATGGACAATTTTAACCCAAACAATGCCAGCAGGCACAACTTCAGAACAGGAAGGACTGCAACACTGTGGGCTCAGCCTGTACACATCGATGTTAGGCAGTTGGAAGGATTCCTACTATGTGGACGAAGTTTTTACAACAGGTCAAAGCAAATCCAGCACCAGAATTCACAAAAGCCATCAAAGCTGTGAGGCAGGGCTGGGGGTACCTTGATTTGGGTTCAGATTTGCAGTCAACATCGTGCTTCCCTGAGCTATAACCTTTATAGTCACCTATAAATCAGAGGGTGTCTTTTTCCCCCCTCTGTGCAAATTCAGTTTGTATTATTACTTTCATTTCTGCTATTCCACGTTGTTCAGCAAAACCTACCAGTCAGATATTCCAGCACAGCAGCCATGTACACTGGAGCACCAACACCAATTCTGTACTTCGGGTGGCCTTTCTTAATGTAACGTAGCATTCGTCCGACAGGAAAGATGACCCCAGCCTTTGTGGAGCGGGAAGTCTTGGTTGACTTCTTCTTTCCACCCCTGCTGGACATTTTGACAGTATTGGGACTGGAACAGCACTCTATATATTAGGGAGAAAAAAAGAAATAAAAGGTTATCAGTTAGGAATGGTGCTGTAATACCACAAACAAGATAGTTGGCATAATTCTATACAGTAAATGAATTAAGCCAGATAAAGGATTTCATCTAAAACTGCTTTGGAATTACTTTTCTGAAATTCCTAACAGATTAAATCTGGTACCATTAGTGAGGCAAGGTGTGTTAACTAACAGAAAATAAAGGTTCTGCATTAAATAGAGGATGCTTTTTACAAGTAGAGTGGCAAAACCCTCCGCTCTTGATGAAAAACTCGTGATTGGGCCTTTGAGGAACTGTGGTCAGGTCATTACACTCAAGAATAATTGTTCCTAACTAGGAAAAACCATATCCACTAAAGCTTTTCTAAAGCGTGTTCGCCTTCCTCCAAAAACTAAATTTTTAAGCATGTGTAAATTTACAGAGCAAACACGTAAGTTTTGCAAAATACATCTCCTGTACGTTAAATGTTCTGTTTTAGAAAGATCTGAAATTAATCCTTTGAGACTTGAACCTAACAGAAACCAGCTACCTGCCCATCAAAGACTGCGCCGCTCCAAAATGCCCTCTAGGAGGCTGATAAACTTCAATCTGGCACCTTTCCTTAACGTAACAGTGGGCTAAACACCCAGCAGATACCCAACAGCTGGATCTCAGTTCATGTTGGTAAAGAAACCTACTGCTGATCCAGCTGCCAAACTTCTTTTTTCTTTCACTCATTTCTGCTCAGGCTATAAAGAGAAGCTGATCAATCCAAAGAGGTGGAGGGTTTGCTGGCTCTCCAGGAGTCTTTGAAGACGTAGGCAATGCACTGGCTTTTGAAAATAACTCGGAGGAAAGGAGACAGTCCCCCTCTCCAAATCCCTCCCCTCCTGTGTGCCCGAACTCCCAGGAAAGCAGCGCACACCCCACTGTACATCCTAGTTCTTTCCTCGCTGCGCAAATCCTACCCAACACAAATGCAAATTCACTCACCTTTATACACTCCACAAGGAAACCCCTTCAAGGCTGCTTTCCCATCACATCACTTCTCTGCTTGTCTTTTTTTTTTTAATTATTTTTATTCTGAATTCTGTCCTTAGGAACCAAACAGTATTTGCCATACATCTGAACCCACGGTTGAGCAAGCTCAAAATTAGGCAAAACAGGTTCACCAACCCCACTTCAACATTTTACAACTTAGAAGCATTCTGTGCTGACATGTCCTCCAGTCTTCTAAATCTCAGTGAGTCACTGAGATTCAGACTACATAACCATCAAATAAAACCCACTCATGAAAAAGAAATGTGAATATCAAACATTTCTTTTCCTTACCACTTCCATACTCCACTCAAGGAGCCTACACTCATACAGTACATTCAGTACAATAAATGCTTGTTAAAGGAAAATAAAATAATTCTATTTTATTGGCTCAGATGAAAGTTACACTACTGTTATGAAACTGATGTCATGAAACTTTGGAAGAGAGAGCTATCAAAAGGGCTCCTTCTGCTTTCCTCTGCTGTGAACTCAGCTCTGTAACAAGTATTATTCTGCAGAGAGGAGGACAAAAGGCAATTTTCCTGCCCTGAGAAACTGCCTAACTGGAGCTCACAACTGATTTCAAAAAAATCTCCCATTTAATTCCATTTTCTCACATAGTTAGCTCTGTCTATGTTAAGAGGAAGGCTGGGTGTAGCTTGGAGTTGGCTATGGACCCTCTGCCAGAAATGTTCATAGTTCATAATCCATTTTCATCAATACTACAGGTGTTAAATCTCACAAACTGTAAGAAGTTCATTGAATTGAACACCAGGGAAAACCAGCATCAGAAATGCCTGTGCTTCTAGCTCTCCTCACACGTCCTTTGGTTTGTAACTGATAGATGAATGATGAAAAACATCATTTTTCTAGGGAAAAACCTGCAAGCCTTAAGCAGCAAACTTCAATTAACCATTTGTCTTACAAGTTTCTGGGATAGTCAGAATAGCTGGAATACGGAAATCTGTCCTGCTGTTGAATTTTGTTCTTTGAAGAGTGTCATCCAGCCATCGACTGCTGTAACATTTGGATCAAAGTACGAGTAAATTATGTAGCAATGCAGAATTACTGTCAAAGAGGCTTTGAAGGAGCTGAAGTAAATACAGCTCACCCAGTCTAAAAATCATAGAATCCTAGAATGGCCCAGGCT